ACCCAGCTGCAGTTTGTTAGGTAATTTTAGATTGCAAAGGGCCAGGCCATTCATATGCAAAAGCCTCTGGGCACAGCTTGGGTGGGGCGGGGACTCAGGGAATCAACAGGGCGGAGCAAACAGCTATGGCTGCTCCTCAGTCCTACCCTAAGAGGCCCCGCGTCTCAGTGTCTTGGTAATCACTGCAAGCACTTCTGAGAGAAAGCCGCCCTCGAGTTCCAATCTATGCCAGACAGTCCAGTTTCTCCCCGTATGAATCTGGGTCCCCAGAGACTCGCCCGGAACTGGAGTCAGGGCTGTTGGGAGCTTGATACTCCCTCCTGATTGAGAAAGACAACCGTGTCCTCAGTTGCCAGCCCTTTCCACGTGCACCTCCATACCTCTGCACTTTACTGCCACACCTCCTCTGAGTCTTAGTGCGCTTTCCTTCTAGTTGTAGAATTTCCACTCAGCCAGCCTTCCTGTGGTTCTGGATGATGTCCGTTTTGTCTTTTAGTTGTATTTTTGAAGTGGTTGTGTGAGGCAGCAATTTCCGGTGTTTACCTATGCTGCCATCTTGGTTTCTCCAAAACATGTGTCTTGTAGATTTAATCATGAATCAAGACACCTACTAGCCTAAATATAATAGCGATGTAATCTAATTGTGAGCAAAGTGCCTGATGAAGGAAAAATAGCCCCCTGAGGGCTGAAACTGCATACGAAGAATCACAGCATAATAATGTTAATAGCATAAGCAAAACTTACAAAATGGACACATGAAAACCTGATTGAAGTTTATTTTTATTTTTATTTCCATTTATATGAAACATTTTTAGAGGAATATGAAGTCTGATGTTCTACCTCAGGAGTATACACTATATACACACCAATTACACCTTCACAGGACCAGACTTTTAGAAACACTTTTCCAGTTTCTCCTGTATTGTTTTCTCTAGTATAGAACTTATACTCTTGGGATCTTCTTCCTACTCAGCCTCAGTGGCTCCTCCAGCATCTCCAGATGGTCTGTAGGTCGACTCTTACCGTTACCCAGTTATCTTCATAACTAATACTTTATCTTGTCTCCCCTGTTATCATTGCTTACTCAGACATGGATTGTTTGGTCCTACATAGGCATCCTCGAAAAACTTGCAAAACTATCATTATACTTGCAAACATTCTAAGATAAAGTATAAACTTTTTTGATGTTTCTTGACTAGGGTAGGCTGTTTTCCAACTCATAGGCATGCTACAGCCATTTGTCATGTCCTTGTCTTGTACAAGATTAACAATTTGTCCAATGAGGTTATCATGCTGTCCCTATGTTTGTTGGTTTGGAGAGAACTATAGATATATTCATTTTATGTATTTCTTTCTATATATGGAAAATACTATACACAATATTCTCTACATTGTTTATTTCACTTAATAATCTATCTTGGACATCTTTCCATGTCAGTAATATAGATCCACCTCATTCTTTTAAACTACTGTGAGGCATTCCATTATATGAAGGCATATCAACTAATTTAACCAATCTTCTAATGAAAGATGTAAGGTTTTCTTTTTCAATCTTTTGTTATTACAAACAATGCTGCAACAAACATGCTAGTACACATAATTAATGCATATGTGCCCTAGAATGCTGAGTCACAGGATATGGGCACTTTCGCATGAATATATAGGGTGAATTTATTCTCCATTGAGTTTACATTCCATTGATGTTTTAAAATGAACAGTGACATGTTCTTTCCTTATGGGCAATAAAAATCTGTGTTTTATATTATTTTAATATTTTAAATAAATTTTTATTTAAAATTAATATACCCTTCCTTTAAAATTAAAACATTTTAGAGTAGGCTAAATCTCCTTTTACTACCATCCCCAAATCTGAGTTAATCAGTCCAGGTCTCTATGTAACCACCATTTTGAATAGACATGTTATGTACATAGCCCTCTTGATGCTTTTCTGAGCCTTGGCAATACGTAAGTACAGCTATAAAAGATATATAATATTACTTTGTGGTTTAAGATTACTTACATAAATTATATTATATCATCTATGTCATTTAGTGTCTTTTCATTGTTATTGTGTTGTCCTTTTTTAAATTGAATTTATTGAGGTGACATTGGTTAATAAAATTATGTAGGTTTCAGGTGTACAATTCTATAATACATCATCTGTGTATTATATTGTGTGTTCACCACCCAAAGTCAAGTCTCCTTCCATCTCCATTTATCCCTCTCTTTACCCTTTCCTCCCTCCCTCACCACACTTTCCCTCTGGTAATCAGACCATACTATTGTCTACCCATGAGGAGTTTTTTCTTGCTTAATCCTTTCACCTTTTTCACCCAGCACCCAACTCTTCCCCTCTGACAGCTGTCCATCTGTTCTCTGTATCTATGAATCTGTTTCTATTTTGTTGTGTTTTTTAATTTTTTCTTTATTGTTGAAAGTTATACCCTTTTTTCCCCATTGACCCCTTCTAGCCCACCTTCTCTCCCACCCCAGGTCTTCACAATACTATTGTTTGTGTCCATGGGTTATGCATATATGCATACAAGTTCTTTGGTTAATCTCTTCCCACCCACCTAACCACCCCTGCCTTCCCTCTGAGATTCATCAGTCTGTTCCAAGTTTTTATGTCTCTGGATCTATTTTGATAATCAGTTTATTTTGTTCATTTAGATTCCACATATGAATGAGCTGAATGGCTTATTTCGCTTAGCATAATACTCTCCAGGTCTCTCAATGCTGTCTCAAAGGGTAAGAGATCCTTCTTTTTTACTGCTGCATAGTATGCTATGGTGTAAATGTACCACGGCTTTTTTATCCACTCATACACTGATGGCACGTGTGTTGTTCCAGATCCTAGCTATTATAAATTGTGCCACCATAAACATAGAAGTGAATGAATTTTTTCTGATTGGTGTTTTAGGTTTCTATTTTGTTTGTTAGTTTATTTGTTGATTAAATTCCACATATAAGTGAATTCATATGGTACTTGCTTTCTCTGACTGGTTTATTTCACTTAACATAGTATTCTCCAGGTCCATCCATGCTTTCACAAAAGTTAAAATTTCTTTCTTTTTCACAAACAAGTATTATTCTATTGTTTAAGTGTACCAGTGCTTTTTTAAATCCACTCATCTACTGATGGGTACTTGGGCTGCTTCCAAATCTTGGCTATTGTAAATAACAGTGCAATAAGCATAGGGGTGCTTGTATCCCTTCAAATTAGTGTTTCGGGCTTCTTCAGGTATATTTCCAGAAATGGAATTACAGGTCATAAGGTAGTTCCATTTTTTACTTTTTAAGGTAACTCCATACTGCTTTCAGCAGTGGCAGCACCAATGTGCATTCCCACCAAGTATTCACTTGAATCCTCATCTTCATCAACTCTTGTTGCTTGTTGATTTATTAATGATAGCCATTCAACAGCATGGGGTGATATCTCATTGTGGTTTTAATTCGCATTTCTCTGATGATTGAGCACCTTTTCATATGTCTATTGGCCATCTGTATGTCTCTTTTGAAAAATAACTATTCAGGTCCTCTGCCATTTTTTAATTGAAGTATTTGTTTTTGGTGTTGAGATTTATGAGTTGTTTATAAATTTTGGATATTAACACCTTATCAAATGTATCATTGTTAAATATATTCTCCCATTCAGTGGGTTGTCTTTTCATTTTATTGATGGTTTCCTGTGCTGTACAAAAACATTTTAGTTATTTTTTTGTTTGTTTTTTGCCCAAGGAAATATATCAGAAAAAATATTGCTACAAGAAATGTCCAAGATTTTACTATCTATGTTTCCTCCTAGGATTTTTATGGTTTTGAGTCTAACATTTAAGTCTTTAATACATTTTGAACTTATTCTTTTTTTTTCTTTTATTTATTTATTTATTCTGGGATTTATTTACCTTCTATAATTAAAACTTTGTAGCCTTGAGAGGAGCTTAGAGCAGGCCAGGGCGGGCGGGAGGGAAGCTTGGTTTCCTCCATCGCCAGGGGCAACCCACTCCTTTCTCGCTCCAGCTCCGTGGCCACGGCTGGCTGAAAGCAGGTATCTGGGGTTTATTTATCTTCTATAATTGAAACTTTGTTGCTTTGAGTGGAGCTCAGAGCCGGGGGGGGGCAATTTTCCAAACATCATTTATTGAAGATACTGTCTTTACTCCATGGTATGTTCTTGCTTCCCTTGTCAAATAAAGACATGGGTTTATTTCTGGACTCTCTATTCTGTTCCATTGATCTTTATGTCTGCTTTTTATGCCAGTACCATGCTGGTTTAATTACTATAGCCTTTTAGTATAGTTTTATTTTAGGTAGCATGATTCCTCCAATTTTGTTTTTCTTAAGATTTCTGTGGCTATTCTGGTTGCTTTTTTAACTTAATAAATTTTTGAATTCTCTCTATATAGATAAATGATTGATATAAAAAGATTGTTTTGCACATGCTACATTTCCATTGAGGGTCAGAGGGCTCTCTGTTCATTGGACTAAGAGAGTCAAGCTGCTGGAGCAGTCACCATTATGAACACTGACAGGCTCTTTAGCATTTCCCACTTGTTACAAAAGTAACAACTCATTTACCAGCACCAGACACAACGTGAAGACAGCCACTGAGTGTTGTCCAACTGTGTGCCCAGGAAAGCACTGATAACAGTGAATAACACTGATTATTCTAGAAATCAGTAAAATTGATCAGGTACAGAGCATATACATTTCCCATTTTAATATATACTCCTAAATTATACTCCAAATTTGTTTTACCATTCTGCATTCCCAGTATCAGACTGTGAACATATATATCTTCCCATATTCTTTTCAACACTTCTAATTATCGTGGGTTTTTTTTTCTAAGTTTTCCTGTCTGATGAGAGAAAAAAATGGTGCTGGTTCAATTTATATTTTTCTGATTGGTAGTGATGTTGTACATCTTTTCCATTTGTATTGTGGTCATTTGCATTTCCTCTTCTGTAACCTACATGTTTAAGTCCTTGGCTGTTTTTCTATTCAATTGTTTTTAAATATTGTTGCCAATTTGTAGAAGTTTTTTTGTATATTATGAATGAGAACACTTATTTTTAATGTACGTTGTAATTTTTCCCCAGATTATAACTAGATTAAATTAATTTTATTTCTTTTTTATTGTTTCCTATGGGCACAGAAAAAAAGTTATTTTGAATTTTTCACAAAAAGTCATCTGAAATATTTAAAAATAATTATCAAGTCACTTCCTTGAAATAA